CGTAAAAATCTATGTTAATTAAGATCAGATATCCAAACACCGTCACAGTCATGATTTCCTTTGTTTAAACGGGATGAATTATTAATGGCTTTGAGAGATGTCTTTCATGTACTTACCGACATCAAAGTCTGAGGGAAAGCTATAAGTTGGAGCATTAGGTTTGTACTCTGGGTGAATCAGAATGTTGGAGATTTCTAAGCTTCGCTTGAGAGACCCGTTCACCATCAAACTGTCTTCACCTACAATGACACTCCAGTGGGTTGGAATTATATCTGTGAAACAGAATAAGAAATCTGGTCACATGTGCAGCCTTGCATACGTCGGCTGCGCCCGCAGTACGAGCAGCAGTCAAAAGTGAGCTGTCCTACGGAAACGACACGATAATAGTCTTTTTCTTCGCAGCTGACAAAAAAAAGACATTACTAAGGTTGCTTTGGCGTCTTCTAATAGTAAACTTGAGAATTCCGTGTTTAATTTGACGAGGTCCACATATTTTGTTGAAAATAACACAACTATTATCCTACCTGGCGACACTCGACGAACTTCGAGCGAATTGCCGTGCCAGACGACGGAGATTCATTTTTGGCGCCAAATTAGAAGTTTGGAGACACAAAATGTTTCATATTTTTCAATTTTTACATTTGATATGGTTTTTGGAATTGTAAATCCCCTTTATCTACAGTGAGAAAAGTTGCCTGATTTCAATGCCTTTCCTGTTAACTTACATTGACGTCAGGACAGTAAAGTTTTTTGCCGTCTGCTGAATCCTGATTGGTCAATTCAAATTTTCGGCGCGCTAGCCGTATGCAAGGAAAGTAGGCTAGTAAACAACTAGCTGGGGTGGGAGAGACTGTGAGCTGACCTATCAATGGGTCTAAGCCTCATTACAACTTCGTAAGTCTCAAAACCAGGGCTAAATATCGCTAAATGTCTTTCCTGTTGGAAATTTGTCGATTGATGTTATAGCTTAGACCTGAACGACTTGACCGACTTAAAGTGAAGCCTTGGAGCCGATGGTTCATAGCTGCCGGAGCTTATCCCGGTTTCTATAGCATGAAGCGGCTAGGAGTATTTCTACTCCCCCTGGA